TAAGGTTAGGGTTGGCGAGCAGCGGCTAGAGTTAGGTCTGGGCGGTGGCGGCAAGGGTTAGGGTTGGGAGGGAGAGAGTCGTGCATTGACCCGTCAGGTACCCCAAATTCTTAGAGATACAAATAGAAATTCTAGTTACAAAAAAAATGGAGCACAGACTCTTCCAATATTAATTCAAGTATTGGTTCTCCCATCCCTTCTGAGCATGAAAAGGCGCATCAATTCACTTTACCTAGAAGGAATTTTATTAAACATTTTGCTTTCTTTTACTCAAAAATAAAGTTTAGGTCAGGGAATCCCAAAAGCCTTGGTTTGGTAATGCCTTATCACAAAAGGATGGGTGAAGAAGAAACTCCACCATAGACATGCACCTTTAGGCTGGACCAAACCAGGGCCAAAAGACTCAAATAAATAGCTTCAAACCAACCTAGCGAACTCGCAACTCCACGGGAGATGATCAAGATCCTCAGCTGCCCCCGCAGAGAATACAACACTGCAGCCCAACCAAGCTAGACGGCTTCCTCAAACCCCACTACAAGGTATTAACTCTATCATGAAGGACCTGCCACACTTTGACTTTCTTGAGAATTTTAACCTTCCACAATAAGGAAAAGACGAGGAAGCAGGACAATTCTCCGGATGAGCTGCCGAGAACCCTTCAAAAGGGCTAAGTTCCCAAATACGAGAATCCCTTCTAACTTCTAAGCACAATATCCATCATTTCTCCGTCAAACAAAGGACGACAAAACCCAAGAGTAATAGAGGATGAGCCCCCCGAAGTGGTAAGGACAGAAGCTCTTTTCCGTAGAATACATATGGTATAAACAAGGAAATAAAGAAGATATAGGTCTATCCTCCAACTACTAATCCTCCCAAAGATAAGTATCCACCCCATCCCATTGAACACGAAACAAATGGCGAGAAAAATGGGAGCCCATTATAAATAGTGTCTGCAGATTTTTGGTGTTGTGCCCTTATAATACCCACCTGAGATCCACTCAAGAGGATGTGGTTCATATTTGCTCACAATAATCTTATGCCACAGGGCGTTAGTGTCAAAACCACTAAGCCAACAAGAACTCGACATTTCTATCGACATGACATTTCGAACCTTGCTCATTACGCACCTTAAATTGACCTACTCCTAGACCCCAGCTCCAACGACTTAGCCACCACTTCCCAATTAACTAAATGAGAACCACTCCCCTGCTCGACCCTAAATATCTTACATTCTCTTTATTAAGTTGCCTTTAAGGAAAATTTTGAAGGATAAATAGAAATTTAAAAACTTCAACATGTCACATCCTAAATAAAATCAAAGGTACCAACATCACATTAAAGAGAAACCATCGACACCCTTGTAGATTGAACATCAACAGTGCAAGCACATGTGCAAAAGGCCAAAACACATTACCAAGGGGCTTTAGCTCCTCAAAATCATTCAGATACCGAGAACTCAGTTGAGAAGATGTTGGGCCGCCAAAATCAGAAGGGTTCCAAAACTGGGAGAAACTAGTAGCATTCTAGGTGAAGTAAAATAAGCAAAAAGAAAAGAGAAAAAAAGGGGGGGTAAGAGTCCAATTCCAAGAAATAACAGAGAGGTAGAAACAAGAAAGTGATTAAAATATGAAGAATTACAACGAACCATTTGTTCTTGGAAAGCAGTCTCAAATTTTTTATGAAACATGGATGATGGTTTCGAAGTCAAATCCAGAGCCACTTCAGAGAGGACCTGCCAATTAAATAGATAGAGATAAGGATTGGGGAAACACGAGGATAAGGAATAATTATTGAAAATACCCCCAAATTATAAAGTTCAGATGCCAATTTTGGCAGAGCATCAGCCAATGGTCCTTTAGGGGCACATGCAAGATGGAGCAAATGAACCTAACAATAAAAAAATTCAAATCCATTAAAACGTAGGATTAAAGTTAAAAATTGTAGATTCAAAATAATAGAAATTGACAAAATAACTACCATCATTATATCCCTATTGGTAGTTTGGGACTCTTGATCATTACTCAAGGAAGCAAAAGACCACTCTGAAGGCTCACTTTCAGATCCATGGTCATCATCTTCGGCAACATGGTCTGTAAGAATAGAATCTTGTGCAGGCATAAAGACGTCATGCTGCAGGAACAAAAATTTCTTTCAAGGGAACAATATAGCATTCTTCAAAGACTAGGCAGCCAACGTACTAAAGTCACAAGTTACTTTTTTTCAAAATCTTAGGCAGCTGATCCACATAAATATAACTTTCATACTTTTTCCATGTAAGCAGCAAAAACATAATGTCGTGCTCAACAAAAAGAGACTATGAAAAGTCAAAAAAGAAATGAACATGATCTCAATATTGTTGAAGTTATAGTTAAATCCAGGAAAAGAATGCCATGAGCAAGTTGGTGTTAATCAAAACAAGGTTTGTTGAAGGCACCAGTGAAGTATGCAATTTTACCAAGCCATACAACCAACATCAAGTATAGTAAACCAGGTCCGTACCTGCTTCTCAGCTTTAATACCATCTCCCGCCCTCTGCACCATTAGCGATCTTCTTGAATGAGAAGAAGTTATGCTCTGACTGTCATCTTCACTTTCTTCCTCAAGTGTACCTAAGTTAGAGGAAGGAGACGGTAATTCGCCTCGCTTTGAAGTTTTTCCTGTGAATAAGTTCTGAAATTTATTAAGCTTCTTTTCTTGGACTTCTCCCAGTTTCAAGCTATCTTCTGTAAGAGGTTGTGCTTGTGAGTTGAGGTTCTCTTCCATGTCAAAGCTCCAGCTCCACAACTCCCCAGAACCACTGAAGAGGTCTATATAGCCATGAACATAAGGACCTTTCTTTGCACTTGAAGTTACTGTATCTAGAAGCAATTGAGAATTTTTATCTGAATGAGAACAGCCAACCTTGCACAATAAAGTAGAAAATGACCATTAGTAGACATATAAGCATGATAACTACTTGAATTCACAGAAAGTAATTATTATAATCCCATCAACTAGAAGGTGCAGCATCGGCTCTTGCTCCTGTTTATTGGGTTACTGAGGTTCTTTGGGTAGAGTAATGCAGTTCAAGTCGAGGGATTATTTTAGTTCGGTGTAGGTTTCAAAGATCTGTGCTTCACAGAGCACATGTTGAGGGGTAGTCCATTCTTAAAGAATTATTAGCAAAATATGGGGACAAACTATTTAGTCTGGCAGCACACATCGCTTGCATTTTATAACTATGCATCAAAAGAGATTCAAAAATAATTTTTAACCCTGCCTAATAATGATGAAGTGAGGGAGATTTGTAGAATCGCAGGTCGACCACATCATGTACCAACAATTTCTTAAAAATAGAATGGTAGGGTCAAATAGCAACTGTGGGGGCACTACTAAAAGGGGCTATAGAGCTATGGAAGTAAGGGTCTACCGTTAATTTTTTAAACAAGAAACAAATTTTCATTGATATATGAAAATGAAAAAAAGCAAAAAAATTATAAGACACGATGATATATTAAGAACAAAATGGGGAAAATAGACTAGAGGCGAGGGCCAAGGAGGCCCTCCCACAAACTACCGCATTACAGCTTTCCAATCTTGTTGAAATAATACAATAATATAATTACAAAAGAATTTTCCATGAGTAAGGCACCAAGAGGCCATAGTAATCTGTACGTGATCACAAAAAATATCAAAAGGCGTCGCAGAGTTGTTGAAGACTCTTTGATTCCTTTCCTTCCAAAGATCCCAAAGCAAAGCTCTAGCCGCACAACTCCACAAAAATTTGGCTTTTCCTTTTAAGGTCCCCCTTGAACCACCTCTAAAAGCCAATCATCGATTAATCGGGGAAGGCACCCGGAGATACCACACTTTTTCATAAGCACAGACCAACCCCTAGAGGCGAACGAACAATGAAGGAGAAGGTGATCAATATCTTCTGCATGCCTTAGACAAAGAGGGCAAACCGAGGGGGACAGCACCCAGTTAGGAAGCTTTTTCTGCATCTTGTTACGAGTATTAAGGCTTCTATAGGCAAGACTCCACAAAAGGACTTTGACTTTCTTAGGACGAGAATTTCCAAATTAATTTAACTAGTGGTGAAAGGAGCTTGGGGAACCTTCGTAAGCTTGTGAAAAGCAGAACTAGTGGTGAACCGCTTCCCCCCTCAAGGGCCCACTCAATCTTGTCCTCCCCACTCCCAAACCAAAAAGAGGCCAGCAACTCCACCATCCGAATCCAGCTTGTCATCTCATGATCTCTTAAGCCTCTTTTGAGGACCAAGTTCCAGTCAGCATGCTCTTCAGACCAACAGTCTGCCACTGTTATGTCTTTGTGGTCGAAACTACTAAACAATTCAGGGAATTGTGTTGCAAGAGGACAGTTCCCTAACCAACTGTCTTTCAAGAATTTGATCTTTCTCCCATTGTTTACTTCAAAAGAAGTAAACTTCAACAAACAGTTGCTCTGCATAGCTATGTTAACCCATGGGCTTCCAGTAGTCTTCCTTGACTTGGGTAAATCTCCACAACCATTTCTGCAATAAGGCATCATTCCTCTGTTTGAAAGCCGCAATCCCAAGGCCTCCATAGATCTTTGGTAGGGACATTTGTTCCCAGTTTACTAGATGACGTTGAGGATGGCAGCCGATACCGCTCCAAAAAAATTTCTGACTATTCTCTACATATCAGCAATGACCTTAGAAGGAGCTTTAAAAATAGAAAAGGTATATAACAGAATGCAATTCAGCACCAACACCGCAAGGGTAAACCTCCCCTCTTAGACAGCATAAGGTTCCTCCAATTTTCGAGCTTGGCCCTAAACTTATCCACCATGGGGTACCAAGAAGAAGCTCTTTTGTATTTTCCCAGCGAACACCCAAATAAGTGATGGGAAGGGAATCTACCTTGTGTCATGGTCGTGCTCGTCCAATGCATGTCGCCCATGGCCGCATGCCTAGGATAGCGTCTCCCCTCCTACTTTTATGCCATGTATTTACTTTTGCATGTTATTTACTTTTCATTGTACTTTTGGTGGCGAGTGACTCCTCGCCACTTTACATGTTCACGCCTACCAAAGGCAAAATGCTTTATAATATACCTTAGGGGGTACACCTAGTCTCCTCCCTACATCGAGTTGTATTCTTATCTTGCCGCTAATCTATTTTCTTGCATTCAAGCATACAACAAACTTTCAAAAATGTCTTCAAACGTTTTCCAAACCTTTTTTCTCTAACCCCATTTTCCAAAACCTTTTTCCCGAGAACGGGGGTGGAGGTTGCGATATATAGCCGTCGGCTATCCGATTCTCGCTGGCCGACTTGCTCGTGGGCAAGAGCAAGTGCCGCACAGTCGCTTTGCGAGTCCTTTGAAAAGTGCGATTGTGAGAGTTGGTATCAGAGCCTAGTTGGCTCCTCGAATCGAGATCAATAATCATCTCGGCACTGAAACAGTTGAACAAAACACATGTCGAACGACTCGTGGAAATTGAGAAACAGCTGTTGTTCCTGAGGGAAGTCCCTGATTGTTCGGTTCCTAGAAAATCGGCTAGAAGAGTTGGCTAGTAAAGCCGATGGAATTGACGCAACAAATGCTCGAATTGACGCATTGTCAGTGAAAGACTTGTTGGTTAGGGTTAAAACCCTAGAAAGTAGAGCCGGGAAAACGAAAAGGTTTCGAGTGAGTGGACAGCTCGAC